CTTTTCTATTTTTCTTTTGATGTCTTTGTGTATTTTATTCTTGTTTGAAACTTAACAAAATTCTTATTAAAAAAAATTCAGGCGCTTGGCAACCGGCATGTATTTATGACGGCTGCAATGACCCGGGATCACATGATCGCCATTTGCAACCTTCCCAGCTGGCTTCCAACAAGCAAAGTCAATGGGGAACCGCATGATTTGCTTAACGACCATGGTGATTTGCTTAACAACCACCACAAATGTTGTAAAATTGGGTGCGGTCATGTGATGCCTTGCTTAACAGCCACATTGCTTAACAACAAATTTTCCAGCTCCTATTGTGGTCATATATATGGATGTGTAGTGTTATTGACAACAATACAAAAATATGCTGCCACTGCCTTCTTTTAAATTATAAATAATACATCTAATAATCAGGGGGAAAATACTGTTAAATCAGCATATTTGATGGGAGGGTGTGAGGCTGAATCATTAAAGTCAATCCAACAATAACACATTTGCTAAAAAGACAATTATGGCCACAATCCTATCCTCATCTACTGGGGAAAAGATCTCACTGATATCAACAGAAATTGCCTTACTCTAAATATAAACAGAATTCTACTGCAAGCTGTTTTGGAGCAAAAAATAACGAACAGAAACCCATTGCTGCCAATACATAAATCATCTGCTTCTGAGTCATGCAGAATTAAAATTGCTTCCTCAAAGTGCTCTAACTCAAACCCTCCAAATAGCAGTGTGCAACACACTTTGACCTGAAACCATTTTGAATTTGAAGCACCCTGTTTCAAGACTGAAAAAGCCCTTTCTCCTTCACAACTAGAATTCAAACTCTTCAAATGCAAAGTAATTTTCAAATGCAAAGTATTTCAAATGCAAAGTAATTTTTACATTCAAGAGGGCTGGAATTTGAAACCTATGCACACCTGACTTCAAATTTTAGCTCTTTAGGGGTGGCGGCCTCTCCCCATTTAATAATCTGTTTTTTGTCTCCATCCTGAGAGTTCTGTTTAAGCCATGGCTGTTGAATCTTTCAATGCAAATGCATGTGATAAAGGAAGATGATGCTGATCCTCCACAATCCATCCTGAAACAGAAGCTACCTGTACATTCTCAAGCAAGACTATCCCATGCAACTGTTGCTTTCAGCAAAATCAGCCTCTCCCTATCACACACCAGGGTGTTTGGCAGAATATTATTTACCTGAGAAACTGAAAGCCAGTGTTAGACGCTACCAGAGGCCTCCACTTCAAATCCCTCCTAAATGAATTTAAATGGGTGACTGAGAGCTGGTTACTGTTAGCTCATTCTACCTCAAGAGACTACTGCAAAGATAAAATATGGTTACAGGAGCCCCAGGAACATGTTCAGGTTTTGCTGCAAACCACCCACAAGAGCCATTTTCACATGCTCTCTGCTTCAAGAGGCCAATCAGGCTCTGCAGGCCTGAGCTTTTAGAAAACAGAGGACAAGTTGCCTAGGTGAGCCTGTGACACGTTTGTTTTGAATCATTGTACCTTGTCTTGGTTGCAGTGAGCCTCAAAGCAGCTTAAAGCTATTTACAAGAATAGTATAGTCCTGCCTGTACCTGCACAAAACCAGGGCCAGAAGGACGGATATGGCTCTAAGCAGTCCCCCAGGACTTCAGTTCCACCATCTGATCTCTGTCCCACCTGGGCTAGGTTTGTGGGCCCTGTCTGGCAGATGCTTCTCAGCTCTGGAGGCACGATCTAGACCAAGGATCCCCAGTGTGGTACCCCTGGGCACAAAACCTACTTGCTGACACCTTACCAACATAAAGATGTTTAAAAGTATTATTTTAATTTAAAACAATAAATAGGAAGTTAGCAGGTCATGAGCATCACTTTCATTTTCAAAAATCCTCCAGACTTCCAATGGGCCCCAACATTTAAATGGGTGATCGATCATTCCAGCCCTGTGTGCTGCTTAGAAATGTGCTCATCTACCTCACAAAAGAGAGCAAACTAACTTGAGCTACAGAGAACCCCTTGGGATGCTTCAGAGGTTGTGGGAGAGCAAACTGAGTAATCCACCTCCCACACTGTCTGTGATAGGCTGCCAGACGTTTTGTGAGAGCCCACTGCATACTTGCCCATTCCAAAACTTCCCACTTATATTCTGTGCCTGTAGGTCCACCTTCAAATTTTGTAAAAAAAAGTTTTGAAAATACAAAGATTGTTTATTTAAATAAAATTACACATATAAATATTACATTTTTCTTAATAATTAGTTTTAACATCCACGAAGATGTAGAAATGTTAACCTTGATGTTAATCTTTAAACTGAATCAAGGACTTTTTCAGCTGCATTAAGTTAAAAAAAGCTTTGCTGAGTCAGTGAAGAAAAATTCTGATTTGATCATTTCCTTAATATTATTGTTTACATATTAGCCACTGAGCATTTAACATCCACCAAATGAAAGTCACTTCTCTGGCCTGTTTCATAATTATTGACATTTATTTAGACTTATCTGTCATGGATAGTTAACTTTTTGCTTCTTTATTTGTGAAGACCTGGCTAGAGTACGCCAAGATAAAGAAGAAGGAATTGTACATTATATATATTCTATATTCCCCTTGTTTAACTTCTTAAACTAACATGAGTTTTGGTTTTATGATCAACCGTATATAGGAATATTCCAAAGAATTCCTCTGTAAGTAATTCACATACTCATATGCTGTGAAGAAGAGGGCCATAATAGTTAACTGCAAGGATGAAAAGATATGCAAAACTCTAGATATAAGCAACCTTGATTTAACAGTGAAATTTGTACTATTATTCAGAAAAATATAAGTACAATGGGAAATTTTACTTTTCTTGCTAATTTAATCTTTGCTTGCTTTTAATCACAATTTAGATCAATCTACATTGTTCCTTTTAGTGAAACTATCGTCAAGATAATTTAAGAGAAGGCTCTTAACAGTTCTTCAAAAGAATATTACTGCCACAACCTATTTCTTCCATCCTAATCATAGCACTGACCTCTCCTGCCAATAATGCCAACTATTGCTGAGTAACATTATTACAGGTCTGCAAACAGGCTTAATTACAGAGAATGTTAATTGTAAACAAGAAGATAAACTTTCCACAATGTAGAACAATTTGATCTGAGTTTTTGGAAATGCAAATGTAGAAAGGTTGTCACAGTGAAGCATTTGGATAGGGTCAAACAGAATTAAAATGTTAGTA